ATTGGTTAATTAGGGGTTCATCCAGGGACCAGGTCCTACAGCACATAGATCTTGTGAAGGGTCTGTTCCACAGGCTGGATCTTCTCATAAATAAGGAAAAATCCACCCTCAACCCCAATCAAGTAACAGACTTCATGGGGGCCATGTGGACTCCATTACAGCGAGGGCCTCTCTCCCCAAGGCCAGGTTCATGGCTATGAGGGCTGTAATCGAGGGACTCAAGGCTTCACCCCACACAATGGCAAGGAACTGCATGAGACTGCAGGGACACATGGCAGCCTGTACCTATGTGGTACAACGTGCCAGGCTGCAACTCCAGCCTCTGCAAGAGTGACTAGCGACATTGTACAATCCAGCATGTGCCTCACTAGATGCAGTAATCACAGTCCTGGGGGATGTCCTTCGCTCCCTCGACTGGTGGCTGCAGGAGCTGATAGTCTGCGAGGGCGTTCCATTCATCAGACAGAGCCTGTCAGTGCAGCTGGTCATGGATGCATCAGACACGGATTGGGGCATCCATCTTTTGACTCTCAAGACACAAGGTATGTGGTCTCTCTCAGACACTTCCTTTGTATAATTGTCAGGGAGCTCAGGGCAGTCATTCTGGCCTGTGTTTCTATAGCATCCGAGACACAAGATTATCTTGGTGCTGACAGACAACATAATGGCAATGTACTATATCAACAAACGGGGCAGTGCCCGTTCTTCTTCCCTGTGCCAGGAAGCCCTACTTCTCTGGGATTTCTGCATTGCCCATGATACCCATCTGGAGGCAGCATACCTTCCAGGGAATCAAAATGTCTTAGAGAGACTCAGCAGGTTGTTCAGGGCCCACGAATGATCCATCAGGAAGGACATTCTGGGAGACGACTTCCAGAGGTAGGGTTATTCCCATCTGGATGTTTGCTTCCCAGGAGAACAGCAAATGCCCAAGCTAATACTCTTATCTGGGTCAGGATTCTCAATTCACAGACACTTACCTTCCTTCCTCCCCCCCGCCCCGCATCCCCCTCCTGTTCTGCAATGTGATTTGTCCTTTTCATATTTGTTCATTTTTTTTAATTGTATCCTTTGGTATATATGGTTGTGACTACTTTCTTCCACTATTTGATCTGAGGAAGTGGGTCTGGCCCACGAAAGCTCATCATCTAATAAACTATCTTGTTAGTCTTTAAAGTGCTACATTGTCCTGCATTTCGGTTCTCAAGGGGACACTCTGCAAGTGCAGTGGCCTCAGCAACTCCTATACATGTTTCCCCTGAACAGGAGATCCTTAAGTATGTTCTCTGCATCTCAGGTGGTATGCCTGACACCTGAAGCCATGCACTACAACTCATGATCACCCCGGAGCCATTGTATGTGCTGCCAAGTCCACAGCATCCAAGGACGCTTGCAGCGCTGTGCATGAAACCACCTTTCCCTCAGAAATTTGTCCATAGCGGACCATGTATTATATGCGTACCTACTTAGCATCATTTGCTTATTAGCAATGTGCAGCTGCAGCCCTCCTGTGGCACAGGTCTTCCTACTGAGCGAATCCAGCTTCTTCAGGTCCTTGCTCTTTGGCGTAGGCCCAGGGAGATCCTGCCTCTCTTTTTGTCCAGTTACCAAGGAGCCTGGGGCAGGACGGGCATACAGGTGCCCACCCGAAAAACAAAATAGCATCTCTCCACCCCTGTCTGGGTGGGAGGTATAGGGGCCAATGTCTGCCACAGAGTTTTTGTGATTTTGGTCAGAGTATTATTGAGGGGTAATGCAATTCTGGCTGGTGCATCTGCCATTAATATATCGATCACAGGTTCTGAGTCCTCCTGGACCTCCTGCACTTATACCCCTAAGTTGGCTGCAAGCTAGCCGAGTAGCTCCCGATGCACCTTGACATCCCACAGCCAGCATGGAGAGCGCAGGGCCAGCCAGGGCTTCGTCTGGGGATGAGGAAGAATACTCCCTGACCAACATTTGCTCATAGTGCCTCCATGCTTTAAGGTGGTGGTGCCACAGAAGGTGGAGCTTGGGTGAGGTTACCCTCACTCTCACTGGTGGCCTCACCATGTTCTTATGGGTGGACAGTTCAGCATTCAATGTTGGGGCCCTTGGCAGCAGAGTAGCAGAGGGCATGCCCCTAGACCTATGGCTGCCATTGTGGGAGTCATGTCTGACCCCCTCCTGCCGGGCTTTGGTGCTGGGAGCAGTGCCGCCGTTGGGATCTATACCAGGAGGCTCCAGAGCGAACAGACACCACCTCTGATGAGTATTCCGAGGCCGACCACGGCAGTGCTGAGGATGGTGCTGGTGTGCAACATGGCTGCCTATGCTGGGCCATGGCTGTCGGTTTCCCTCTGTGGGGCAGTGCCGGTGGTGGCATTGAGAGCACAGGTGCTGCTGGGTTCATCAGGTATGCTACTTGCACCAGTGTCGTTGGACTCAGTACCACAGGCTCCAGCGGTCAAGATGTGGCGCTCACTGCCCTTTGTGCCAGGGCAGGCCCTGGTGCAGGTTTATTGTCAGCGTCAGGATTGGCACTGGATGTCTTGATGAAGTCTGCGGGGTAGGCTCCAATGCCGTAATAGCTCCAGTGCAGCTCCTGGTGCCAGACCCAGGGTCACCATGAGCTCAATGAGAGTAAAAAATTTCAGGAGTCAACAGCTGCAAGACCACCTCTATCACTATGTCTGGCACCAGACTCTCTCTGCACATCAAGCACAACCAGTGCCTGGTTGGTGTGGGAGCATCCAGGCACGGGATTGCAGCCGATTCCCCTTCCAAATGATGCACTTGGTGGCTGTGCTTTGAAGGGGATTTGTCCTTGTGTAGGCTCTTCTTCCTCAGCACCGGAGACTGACATCAGTGCCTCAGAGCCGAGGTCATCATTAGCACCTTAGTGTGTCTTGGTGCTGATGAAGGTTCATGCACCGAAGCCAGCACACTTTGCACCATCAGTACTGGGACCGGTGCCACCGGTTGTAGAGCAGACTCCATTAGAATGAGCTTCAATCAGGAATCATGTTCATTTGCCAACTGTCTGAGCGATGGCCCTCCCCTATACACAGGACTCATGCAGGTCTCTGCAGGACATAGGTTTTGAGCACTTAACACACAGCTTGAATCTGTGTGACCCAGGCATCCCCTCTCCAGGAGGGGAGAGAAAAAGGGAGAAAACTCCCCTGAAAACAACTAACAACTATTAACTATTTACACTAACAAAGAACTTCAACTAATACAAACATTAAATACAAAGAGCTGAGGGTCAGACTACCTGCGTAGTCAAGTGCTCCAGCTACCGTCACGGGCGGTGAGAAGAAACTGAGGGGCTGGAGGGCCAGCAGGAGTATATATGGACTGATAGAGCGGTGTCAGTCTAGGGAACTCCCTGTCTGGCCCAATGGATACTGTTAAGGGAAAAGAGTTCCAGGATCTGTGCATACGGCACGCATACACCTAACTCGAATGGACATGAGCAAGCACTCAAAAGAAGAACTAAGCAATTCAACTAAGAGTGCGCAGCACAGAAGGCCTACTGGGACTAAATTTATATGATCTAGTAACCCCTCCAGTTACAATTGGAAGGAAAAAGGAATTGCTGGAATACAGACCTTGAGAAGATGGGTTCATCTGGAGCCTATAAATCAGGGGTCTCCAAACTTTTCAGCCCGAGGGCCGCATTAACTATCAAACAGCAGTTCGGGGGCCGACTACACACTTGAGGTCCAAATAAAAAACAATCAAAACATGGATGTTGTTTTTAATTATTTATTTAATATTATTTTATTCAGTTATTATTTAATAACACATTCATACACTACACATGAACACCTGTATTAGTGTGAATGGTGAAATTGTTTCCTGGATGCCAAAATAGCAGACATTTCTGGCTTTAGATTTGTTGTCCCTAACATCAACAGTGACCTGAGATTATCATCGGACAAGTTTGTTCTCAAATTGTTCTTCACGTATTTCATTCTTGAAAATGTTTGTTCACACAGGTATGTTGTTCCAAAGATTGAAAGGTACCTTGATGCAAAAGTTTTGACATTAGGAAAGTCTTCCTTGGGCAAAAACTGGTAAAAACCCACCAGTCCTATTTTGAACTTGTCCCTAAGGAGGTCATTTGCTTGCAACTCAATGACTTCCAGCTGCAGTTCATCTGGGCAACTGGCCACATCTGCTTCAAATGGGTTTTGAAACAATCTCACTTCTTCTGCCTTTGAATCCAAAAAGGTCTCCACGGGCCGGATGAGAGGGCCTCGCGGGCCGCATCCGGCCCCCGGGCCGTAGTTTGGAGACCCCTGCTATAAATCATGCTCTAATGTTTTTTTGCCATAAGCATTCATTGTCAGGGTAGCATGGGATGGAGATATCATACTTTATATTTTAAAAATGTGCATCTGTATGTCCGTGGGTCCATTTGTTCAAGAACTCCTCCTAAATAGTAAGAACTCGGAATATCAAATTTGATATGCAGCTTCACCTTATAACTTAAAGCAAGTTAAGGATTTGGTTGTGCCAGGACAATAGGATGTGCCTAGAATTTGATTGTTTCTCATAAAACTGAAAGGGAAGGGTTTGGCAGGTGGAACAGTTATACCACAGAATGACCATGGGGGGCAGCAAGCAGCCAGAAATGGGGACCAGGACAGCTATAACCCCACTTGGCCAGCAGGGGTGGAGAAAGGGACAGCTTTCAAAGACTTTGTCCCTCCATAGCCCAGACGGGGTATCCCGTCTCAGCTATGCCAGCGGCAGCAGTCATACACAGGTGCATCTCTCCTGACCCCATACTGTACCCCTTATCTCTACCCGCACCCAGAACAATTATTTAAATGAAGAAAAACAGAAGTTCTCTCAATTAAGAACCTGAGCAATGCCAGGTAAACTGTCTAGTACTTCAATATTTATACCATCTCCCTTATGAGAATTCCACCACCAGTCTCAAATCAGGTTATTTAAAACATAATAAAAAGCAAAAAGTCGACTTAGTGAAGGCAGTAATTAACACCTACCTGTCTTTGATTATGCTGAAGTAAAAGTTAGACAAATCTCTAGTGTGGAATGCTTGCAACAAACGAATAACTTTGCTATAATCATATTCTTTGTACGCTTCTGTAACCTGGGGAACAGAGTGAAGAGAGAGATGACAGCAGCACATCCAGTTAAAATCACATGAGATACAAATTTGAGGCATGAGGAGCCTGGGAACATTTTCTTTTTTAAGAAGGTAGAGAACATAGGAAATGCTGAATATGAGAAAAGTCAGGTGCCAGAGAGAACATCTTTCTGGAATCTTCTGAGGAAAAACCCCCTGAATTAAGACAGTGAGCTTGTAACAACAAGAATTGAGAAATCATTTGAAGAGACAGAATGAAATACCCCTTTCTAAGGGATGGCAAAGACAAATACTATCTAAAGAAATCCTGACATCACACTTTTTACTACCTGGTAAAAAAAGATTAAGGAAAGAAAACCTAAAAAAGCATGGTAGGTATCACAATTACCATTCTACAAAATATTTACAGTACTCCCCTCTAAGCTTAGCAGTTATTAGGAAACAGTCCTCGGATTTTTCATAACATGAGTGTTCAAAATGCATTTCTTGCTCAATTTTCCTAAACATGTTTGGTAAGCTAGGTCCTGAACTTGCTGAAATTCTACCTGGTTCATCTAACCAGCTCTGAGAAGGTATGTTTACCCTCTCACTGCTTATTCACTATTGAAGCATCAAAGCATCTAATTAATTTGTCCCACTTAAGATCCTGAAGGAAAAAGTTGTATTTGATTTATATTTATAAAGTGAACATTTCATAACCTGAAAATTTCATAGGTGACTGAAAGTCAAGCAATTCTACTTATAGCTACTCCAATCTTGAATGTAAACATTGCATTTGGAGCATCAAAAGGAACATGTTAGCTACACAAGTCACATACCCAGACGTGCTCTGAATTACACTGAACTAAATTTAACAAAAGGCAAAAAGCATTAGCTGTAAGCAGCAAACCATCCTCTAACTGAACCAAAAGTTAACCTGTGCACTTTGCACTCATATTTACGTTTTTTAAACCTTTCAAAAAGCTGTAATTTTCCTAGAAGTAGGACACTCCAGCGATCACCTTCAGGGTCCCATTCTGCCCTTCAATACATAGTCTTTACTCCCCTTGACATTAGTGGAAGTTGCATGCATGTGCCAGAGAGTAAATTTAGACTTTAGTTTTTCAAAATAACCTATATTTGAATGACAAAATGAAGATTCAACCTCTTTTACATTCATATAACAAACATTTTTACAAACTATCTCTGTGTACTATAGAATACAAATGGCATGCCAAATGCAGCCCAGAGTTACTTTTTTCCTTGCCAAAAACTAGCATTTATAATGGAAAGGATTCAGTTTTAAATACAGTCTGAGACAGTTATTTCCTTATCAACAATGTAAGGCGGATCTTCATTTTGCTCCACTATTGGAAAAGCGCATATTTAATTTTTTTTCTTTAAAATAACTCAAACACACTTAAGCATTTTCCCCAGAGACATTATAGTCCCAATTTATAATTAATCATCAACAACCTCTCTTGTATAATAAGTACACAGTTGATTAACACAATTCACCCTCACCTTATTAGCATAGTCCTGTAGCAAGTGTAGCATGTATTGGTCTACGACATACATCTCTGAAATGGGGATGGAATCAGTGTCTGGATTGAAGCCAGCAATGTTTCCCAACATGAAGCGTAGCGTATTCCGAAGCTAGCAATAAACCATTGAGAGTTGTTAAATTAAACAGTTTCATCTGAGTGAAGAGTAAACAAGACATAAGAGACTTCCATTCTGTCAATTTAAATTTAAATACAGGTTGAATCTCTACTCCGGCAACACCCATGGTCCGGCATGTTTTTAGTTAGCTGGATGTCCACTTATCAGAGGGGTGGCTAAGTTTCGGTGCCATACAATTTGTTTACAGCCACCAATCCTGGCTCCTAGTGGTCTGTGCTGTTGTGTAGCTCTAACTGACCTCTAAATATCTTCTCAGAGCCCAGTAAGCAGTGGAAGTGATGGTAATGCTGCTAGACAATATTGACCTTGCATGGTCTGGCAGCAGTCAGGTCCCAAGAGTGCCAGACTAGAGAGATTCAACCTGTACTAGAAAAAGCTTTACCATTTTTCTGATTATTTCTAATCATTACAAAATAGAGTTCCTGGACCACAAGGATGATACCAGAAGAGTTTTGAACAAACAGGTTATATACCAACTGCAGTAGCCAAAAACAGGCAAGCTAAAGAACATTTTTATTATCCATAAAACACATTGCTATTTCATCAGCACATGACAAAGGTCAGCAATAATATTCATGTGCTTAGGAAAAAACAGCCTTCATTTTCAGCCAAAAGAAAAGCTCAAATGCACTCCACTGATAAAATTTCAAAGCCACAACTGATTCTACTCTGTAAATATGAAACCAAATGTCATATATATGCATTATATTCATTTCTCACCTTGTTTATATCATCTTTTGCAGCACTAAGTACAGCTGGTCCAATCAGAACCTCGGTAAAAACATTTGATTCTGCCACCCACCAGCGAAGGACGTCAGCGCCATAGGGAGGCTCCTTAGTGTGGTCCTGTTCATCGACAAAAAGGCAAAGCTCGTTTCAGTGCTACTTGTTTGCAGTTGAAGACACTGCAACCACATTTTAAAGTCAGGTCAGCAACATCATGTTTGCATCTGTGCCCAAAAAAACCTGTCTGCAAATAATTCTAACTAAAATGTACACTCTGAAATTGAGACTCCCACCCTTCGTTTTGACTCTCTCTCTTGTTACAGCATTACAATAATTAAATAATACAAGCCCACAGCAGTCATAGCCTCCCTCCACCTCTCCTCACAAGATCTATCAAAGGCATGCAGCTAGCTTCAGCTCCAGCTTGGCACCAGTAGGAGCTGATCCAGCCCGCCCCCACCTTTTCTACAATCACACTGCGTGAAGCATACCATACCAAAATCCTAGCCCCATGCATTTGGAGAGGGTTGTGAAAAAGACAAACCATTTTCTCTTCCCTCCCCATAGCAGGAGACAAATCAGGTGAATGGAGAACCAGTATACAAGTATAGGAAGAATTGAACAGAGATGGGGCTCAAATTCTCTACTGGCTTATGTACTGAATTCCCACCCACTCCGTCAACTGACAGCAGCACCCACAAAGATCACTTGCCCCCCCCTCTCCAGTTCTCTCATGGAAGGGAAATCGTCCCTGACTTAAAGCTACCAACAGAGCTGTACTGTGATTTTAATTATTTTCTTTCTTCAGTATAAGGACGTGCCTATCAATCAATACACAATCTAATTAATAGCTGACAAGCAGCTTTACTATACCAGTGGTTCCCAATCTTTTTTATACTGGGGACTGGCAAACCCATGCACAAACTTGTGGCAGACCAGCAACATTTGTGTATTCATTATGCAAATAAATATTTCCTGTTTGCCAAAATATGTACCGCTGCCCTCTCATACATTCCAATCCTGACTCCTGCGGCCCCCCATATTTTTTTTATTCAGCCTCAGCAGTTGCTCGCCGGACAGAGCAGATCCCAGCCCCCCGCGATGTAGGAGGTTCCATCCTCCTCCTCTGCACAGCATGTTTTGTCCCCCTCCTCCCTGCAGCAGGTCCCAGCCTCCCAGCAGGCCTCAGCCTCACCTACCAAGCAGCTGTGGCAGGCCCCAGTCCCCCTCCTCTCTCCTGAGCAGGCCCCAGCCACCCCCACCACATGGCTGCAGCAGGGCCCAGCAACTCACCACAAGGCCACAGCGCAGGCCCTGGCTGCTAGAACAGGACTCTGCAACTCACCACGCAGCTGTGGCCTCACCCCCTGCCCAGTACAGCCTCACTCAAGTCACCTCCCAATGACTTCATAAATATCTGCCTCAATTACCTTTGGTAAATAAAATGACCAATCATTCATTCATTTTCTGATATAGCTGTAAAACTAACCTGAAAAGTTTTCAAAATAAATCCCCGTTTAAAAAATGCATAGTGTGTACCTTCTAAAAAATGAAATCTACATCTATAACTGAGTTGTGAAGAATATGTATTAAGGTTATGATAACCAACAAGAGTGCACTTTGATGATTAAATCGAGCCTTCCCAACTAGTGATTTAAATCAATTTGATTTAAATAAAATCCATCCTCATGGCATGGTTTGCATACTGTTGTAATGCAAAGACCTCTCCGTGCAGTACACATCTAGTTCAGCTTCAAAAAAAAAATTGAAAGCCACTTTATAATATCATAAAATATCAAGTATAATGCGCACCTTGCATAATGCGCACTTACCTTTTAAATGTCAGAACCCCTGAATAAACTGAACTCTTATCTATAGTGCGCACCCCGACTTTGCCGTATTTTGTCTTGCCTTTCTGTATTGCCAGGTAATCACGCGAGCACATGAGTATATAGTGCGCAGTATTCCATGTTCTCTTTGGAATGCCATGAGTTGTCGGCGATCTTACACAACCACTGAAAAACTGAAAGTTGTTAGCTATGCTGAAGCTCATGGCAACAGAGCTGCCAGCCATGAGTTTGATAATATAGCAGTCTAACATTCGGTTTTGGAGACGGCAGAAAGAGTGCCGGCAAGCGCTGCCTAGGATGAAGATGGCTGAGTGAGATAAAAGCGTTGCATATCCTGAGTTGGAGGCCAAGCTGGTTGAATGGATTGCTGAGCGTAGACAGCAAGGCGGTGGTGTTAGCATTGCGGAAGTTAGAATGAAGGCTTTGACCATTGCCAAAACGTGTGCTAACACAGCCGGGTTTAAAGCTTCATATGGCTGGGGCGATCAGTTCATGAATCGCCATGGCCTATCGGTCCGACACAAACAACAATCGCACAGAAGCTACCAATGGACTCAGACACCAAGTTACTGCAGTTCTAAAAGTTTATCATAAAGCTACAGAAGTAGCATTGCTACGACCTTTCATTAATTGGTAACGCAGATCAGACACCATTACATTTCAATAATCCCTACGACACAACGCTTGAACTGAAAGGTACCAAGACAGTCTTCATTGCTACCACAGGCCATGAAAAGTCTAGGTTTACCATAATGCTTGCTTGCAGGGCCGACGAAATGAAGCTGCCTCCTTATATTGTGTTCAAGCACAAGACAATGCCAAGGAATGTAATCTTCCTGAACACTGTTCATGTGCGTGTTCACCCTAAAGGCTGGATTGATGAAGCTTTAATGCTTGATTGGCTACAGACAGTTTGGGCGAAGCTGCCAGGTAGACTTATGAGAAAGCGGACTCTAATAGTTTTGGATACAGACTTGGCAATTATTCCTGGTGGAATGACCAAAATGTTACAGCCGCTTGATGTGACAGTTAACAAGCCAATGAAAGATGCACTATGCAGGAAATGGAACACCTGGAAGGTGCACATACATTTACTGCAGGTGGACGTATGCGAAACCAATGCTGCAAGATGTTACCCAGTGGATAGCGGATGTCTGGCATGAACTTGATCCCGCTATGATAAGGAAGGGGTTTCTGAAATGCAGCATCTCTAATGCTATGGATGGCAGCAAGGATGATGTCCTGTGGATGGAACCGAGCGACGATGAATTGGCCTAGGGCGAATTACTGGTATGTGAAGATGACAATGATTTGTATTACCTGGATGAAGATGTCGAGGACATGAAGTGGATGAGAAGTGGATAAGGCTTTTTTTAAACAACTAACAATATCATCCAAAGCCCAAGATTTGGTGGTGATGGGGGACTTTAACTATCCAGGTATATGTTGGGAAAATAACACAGCGGGGCATAGACTATCCAATAAGTTCTTGGACTGCATTGGAGACAACTTTTTATTTCAGAAGGTTGAAAAAGCTACTAGGAGGGAAGCTGTTCTAGATTTCATCCTAACAAATAGGGAGGAACTAGTTGAGAATTTAAAAGTGGAAGGCAGCCTGGGTGAAAGTGATCATGAAATCATATAGTTCACAATTCTAAGGAAGGGTAGAAGGGAGAACAGCAAAATAGAGACAATGGATTTCAGGAAGGCGGATTTTGGTAAGCTCAGAGAGCTGATAGGTAAGGTCCCATGGGAATCAAGACTGAGGGGAAAAACAACTGAGGAGAATTGGCAGTTTTTCAAAGGGACATTGTTAAGGGCCCAAAAGCAAGCTATTCTTCTGCATAGGAAAGATAGAAAATATGGCAAAAGACCGCCTTGGCTTACCCACAAGATCTTGCATGATCTAAAAATAAAAAAGGAGTCATATAAAAAATGGAAAGTAGGACAAATTACAAAGAATGAATATAGGCAAACAACACAGGAATGCAGGGGCAAGATTAGAAAGGCAGAGGCACAAAATGAGCTCAAACTAGCTATGGGAATAAAGGGAAACAAGACGACTTTTTATAAATACATTAGAAGCAAGAGGAAGACTAAGGACAGGGTAGGCCCACTGGTCAGTGAGGAGGAAGAAACGGTAACAGGAAACTTGGAAATGGCAGAGATGCTTAATGACTTCTTTGTTTCGGTCTTCACCGAGAAATCTGAAGGAATGTCTAACATAGTGAATGCTAGTGGGAAGGGGGGAGGTTTAGAAGATAAAATAAAAAAAGAACAAGTTAAAAATCACCTAGAAAAGTTAGATGCCTGCAAGTCACCAGGGCCTGATGAAATGCATCCTAGAATACTCAAGGAGCTGATAGAGGAGGTATCTGAGCCTCTAGCTATCATCTTTGGAAAATCATGGGAGACAGGAGAGATTCCAGAAGACTGGAAAAGGGCAAATATAGTGCCCATTTATAAAAAGGGAAATAAGAACAACCCAGGAAACTACAGACCAGTTAGTTTAACTTCTGTGCCAGGAAAGATAATGGAGCAAGTAATTAAGGAAATTATCTGTAAACACTTGGAAGGTGGCAAGGTGATAGGGAATAGCCAGCATGGATTTCTAAAGAACAAATCATGTCAAACCAATCTGATAGCTTTCTTTGATAGGCTAACGAGTCTTGTGGATAAGGGAGAAGCAGTGGATGTGGAATACCTAGACTTTAGTAAGGTGTTTGATACAGTGTCTCATGATACTCTTATCAATAAACTAGGCAAATACAACTTAGATGAGACTACTATGAGGTGGGTGCATAACTGGATGGATAACCGTACTCAATGGTTAATGGTTCACAATCCTGCTGGAAAGGTATGTGGAGGCAGGAAAAGGGAATAAGGGAATTTGTGTGCAGCCATCTTAGTCTTGTTAACAAGAGAGCAAGAGTCAGGCTAAGTCTGTGGCCTGACAACGCGAGATCTGTAATTAGACACTGCCTTCGCCTCTCGCCTCCATACGGAGATAAGGATAGAATGCTGACTCTGGTAGGGACCTTGAAATGAGGAGCATCTGGGTGGAACTAAATAACTGTTAGCCATTGGTGTTTGTAATGGGAAGGAGACTAATTGTTATTGTTATTATATTTAATAGACAGTATATAAACTGCTTCATAATTGCTTGTATTCGAAGATCTGCCTCGGTGAGGGGGGGGGGACTTCCCCCCCCTGTCCGAACCAGTTTTTCCCTTGCTGCAGCTCGTAATAAAACTGCCTCTGGCTACTTGTTGCTTACAAACTCAGAGTGAGGACAATGTTTTCTTCCACAGGTATAACAAGTGGAGTTCCGCAGGGGTCTGATTTGGGACCGGCTCCATTCAATATCTTCATCAACGATTTAGATATTGGCATAGAAAGTACGCTTATTAAGTTTGCAGATGATACCAAGCTGGGAGGAGTTGCGACAAATTTGTCCAAAATGAACTGGACAAATTGGAGAAATGGTCTGGGGTAAACAGGATGAAGTTTAATGAAGACAAATACAAAGTGCTCCACTTAGGAAGGAACAATCAGTTTCAAACATACAGAATGGGAAGCGATTGTCTAGGAAGGAGTACGGCAGAAAGGGATCTAGGGGTTATAGTGGACCACAAGCTGAATATGAGTCAGCAGTGTGATGCTGTTGCAAAAAAAAAAAAAAAAGCAAACATATTCTGGGATGCATTAACAGGTGTGTTATGAGCAAGACACAAGAAGTTAGTCTTCTGCTCTACTCTGTGCTCATTAGGCCTCAGTTGGAGTAGTGTGTCCAGTTCTGGGCACCGCATTTCAAGAGGGATGTGGAGAGATTGGAGAGGGTCCAGAGAAGAGCAACAAGAATCATTAAAGGTCTAGAGAACATGACCTATAAAGGAAGGCTGAAAGAACTGGATTTGTTTAGTTTAGAAAAGAGAAGATTGAGGGGGACTTGATAGCCATTTTCAAGTATCTAAAAGGGTGTCATAAGGAGGAGGGAGAAAACTTGTTCATCTTGGCCTCTGAGGATAGAACAAGAAGCAATGCACTTAAACTGCAGCAAGGGAGGTTTAGGTTGGACATTAGGAAAAAGTTCCTAACTGTCAGGGTAGTTAAACACTGGAATAAATTGCCCAGGGAGGTTGTGGAATCCCCATCTCTGGAGATATTTAAGAGTAGGTGAGATAAATGTCTATCAGGGATGGTCTAGACAGTATTTGGTCCTGCCATGGGGGCAGGGGACTGGACTCAATGACCTCTCGAGGTCCCTTCCAGTCCTAGTATTCTATGATTCTATGAGGACTATACCCAGGAAGATATTGCTCAACTGTTCGAGGAAGAGTCTAACAAAAGCGAATTTGAGGGCTTCAAAGATGAGTATGATCAATTAACACACTGGTATTTGCTTGTTTGCGCTGCAGTGTTGATTTAATTTGTTTAACTTACCTTTTTGAAACTGTGTATATAGTTGCTTGTTGAGGCTAATAAAAATCAACTTAACCTCTGGTGTCCTGTGATTAATGAATTGCCGTGGAACCGCCAAATGAAAACTAAAAAAAAAAACCTCCTATGGATAATGCGCACCCTGACTTTAACGCTAAAAAAACCCCGAGGGAAAAGTGCGCAGTAAACTCTCTCAATAGCTTAGAACTGAACTATATCTTCAGTGTAATTGTTACAATCCCTCCCCATGCCCTATCACTACAGAATGGATTTAGTCAATAAAATAAACCTCAAATGTACTACAGCTTAAAACACTTCAAAGCTGAAGTGAAACAATTCATGGGTTTTAATTTCAGTTCAATGGAATTTAAATACATCTTCATTATATAGCAACTTTCCAATATTCTGCCATAAAGCAGCTTCACAGGGAAAAGTTATACAACAACATGACTGCAATACTTGGACATACAAAAAAAAAATCCATGACACAATGTGTGTCATGACTTACTTGGCCTCCATTGATTACTATGTCAGGATCAACCACATTGCCAATAGATTTAGACATCTTCTCTCCTTTTTCACCCAGAGTAAATCCATGAACCACAAGAGTCCTAAGGAAAACAAAACAAAAAACAAACCAATACTACTGAAAAATAAATTCAGCCTTGTGATTTATATCTTTCTAGTGTGGCAGTCTTGTCTTCCCAGAAGTATATTCTAACCAAGAAATTTTCGATCCAAGATAGAATCTATTGAATATTGAAACTTATTTCTAGAGAAGAGCAGAAATACATCCCCAACAGTCTTCCTAGTTTAACAAAACCACCAATTGTAGATTAAATCTAAAATCAAGGCTAAAAATCTTGGTTTCACTGAAGTCAATGGTAATTTACCTTATATATAAGGAACACATGCACATACAATATGTTTTATACAATTCATTTTGCCATATGACCAACCCAGACATTTACATTCAGTACACACACATTTGCTCATATAAATTATTTATTAAAATCCAAGTAGTATTATGTATGCATCCTTACTGAACATGTTACTTTTTCAGTAAACTGCATAATCAATTCAGTAATCCAAATTACTGCATCTATTCACTGTTCTCTGTGCACCCAGAGGAACTAAAAACAAAACAAAATCTTAGGTTGATTATTTTTACTAGGCCTATCAATTAATAAAGGCTGTACCTCTGCAAACTAGCATTCTGTGTGTCTAGCAACATCCGTGGTCTGGCTCCTGGACCAGCGGGCCTGAGAGCCTAAAGGCAGGAGGGCCAGCCGGGACTGAGGAAGACAGGGTCGGCAGCTCAGCTGAAGGCAGCCCAGGGCTGAAGCCCTATGGCAGATTTTGGGAATGCAGTGTGGGGAGGAAGCCCTGGTAGCAGCACAGGGCCGGAGTCCTTTGGCAGCATCTAGAAGCATGGGGCCAGAGCCCCACAGCAGCCCCCGGGGTTAGAGGACAGCCCTCAAAAAATAAGGCTGGAGCCCACAAAATATAAGGCTGCAGCTCTGTGGCAGGAGATGGAGTCTGTGACACCCAGGGGAACTGGAAGCAGGCAACAGTCTTGGGGGCTGGAGGCAGGAGACCTCCCTTTATCCAGCAAATTCTCATGTTTGGGACTGGTCAGGTCCCGATGGTGCCGGACCAAGGAGGTCCAACTTGTAACAGTTAATTCCAGTGATTAACTCAAAACAAACTGTAACTCAATTAAAAAAATTAATCACAACTAATTATGATTTTAATTGCACTGTTAAAAAATAACAGAATACCAATGTACGTTTATTATAAATATTTGGATGCTTTTCTACATTCTCAAATATATTGTGATTTCAATTACAACACAGAAAACAAAGTGTGTACAGTAGTCACTTTGATTACAAATACTTGGACTGTAAAAAAGAAACAACCCTATAGTGTAACCTCGATCAAGAAAGTGAAACTTACAAGTACAGACTTTATGTAACTGCACTAAAAAATTAAAAAATGTAAAACATTAGAGCCATAAGTCCTATCAGTTCTACTTCTTGTTCAGCCAACATGTCAAGCAAGTTCGTTTACATTGATGAACTGAACTGAGAAATACTATTTCTTTTACCTTTTTTAATCCAAGTATTTGTAATCAAGTATTCAAGTATTTGTGAACACTGTACAATGTATTCCGTGTTGTAACTGAAATCAACATTTTTTTTTTAAATGTAGAAAACATCCAAAAATATTATTATAAACAGTGTTCTAGTATTGTTTAGCAGGAGGGATGTAAAAATCCATTAAAGCAGTTAACTGGTTAAATAGTTAAAATGGTATCATTTCACTGGTTAGCCATGGAGGGCTGATGCAGACTGTCTGGGTCCTGCCAGCCAGGCCTGCCACATTGCGGGCGGGAGGTGCTCTGGCCAAGCCTGCTATGGCTGGGATTCTGTCAGCCTGGCTCAGAGCATTACGGGCGGGGGCTGCTCTAGCCAGGATAGTTAATTCATTACCGGGTAAGCATGCCAGTAAGTCTAACCATACTCTCATTACATAAAAGCTCAATAAATTGCCTTGTTTCAGACCAACACTTACTTATAAGGTGCTTTTTTTCTTGTTGCCACACTAGTTAAGAGAGAGGACTGAAACCAGCCTCCCAATTGGTCTTTTCCTTCCAAGTATAAATCTGCTTTTTGATCTGCACCTTAAAACAAAAATATCTTGTCAACGGATTAAAAAAAAACAAACATACATACATCAGTTTATATTAGATTACTAAATTCTTATGGTAGGCTCACGGTAAAAAGGAAGTGCTGTAGTAGATGTATCTGTAAGTGGTTATAGAACATCATGCTTCTGTTCTATTAAAGAACTAGTTTATTTACTACTTTAAGGAAAATAAGCAATACAAGTTATCAAACTAAAATCCCCAACTACTCAAGCACCTAACACACAAAATAATAGGTCATTAAATGCTGAGACTCATTCATCTCTGAGAATTTATATGCAACCTGCAAGCTTACTTTTTGACATGAGCCTCTGACAAAATATTACTAAAATATGAAAATACAGGGTAATATAATATAGCCTATTTTGCACTCATATTTTATATCAGGACCTCAAGGCTCTTTACACATATTAATGAATGATAAAACTGCAAGTTTCAGTAAAATAATGAACAAACTAATCCACAGCTTGGTATGCAACTGTTGTTGCAAACAGTACAATTCATGGGTACCCAAAAGTCTCTAGAGGGAGGGAGGTGGGTGTGAATTGGTGGTTATTACACAATCTCACATTCAGAATTTTTTCGTGATTTTAGCCAAAATTTTTCCTGTAATGGGGTTCATTCAATAGTTTCTTTCATCCTCCCCCCAGAGACAATTCCTCTCTTTTTCCCTGGTGTTTATAGCCTTTATCTATTTGTTTAGCGTAATGGAAGTTTCGATATTCAGATCCATCCTGCAATAAAAAAAGTTCAACATTGCAAAGGTCAAGGACATTCAGCCATTGCTAAGTATAAGACTCATGGGTGGAGTTTATGTTTTTTCTATCATTAATTTATTCTTTTAAGAAAAATCAATAAAGATCCAGTTAGAAAGCACAATAAAATATTAATCTTTGCACAAGAGATGGCAAAATACATGTAAAGACTAAATAAGTACAATAATAATTATAGGGAGTAAGCAGAAAAACAGTAATAACTTTGACATCTATTATTGATTTACCATAGACTATTTTTCTCTGCCAAGTCAACTAGAAAATTTCAATTCTTGCAATGAAGGGCAAATAAAGAAAAGACATTTTAATAAGGGGCATCTAAATGACTGAAGAACCTAAACAAACCATCTACAAATATTCAGAGTTGGTCTTTGTTGTCTGATAGAAAGCAGATATAATGGTATGCCTGCAAAGACTGCATGCCCTGGTGAATATACTTCATATTTTTTATGAATTCTTCATTATGTGTCGGTAGAAATAGCAGTACTCTGAGCCTCAATTTCAGATCAATTAAATAATTTATAATCTATTAGAGGATTTACCCAGCGTTGCTCAGGTCCTTAATTGAAATAATTTGTATATTTCTTCATTTAAATCATTGCTTTGGAGTGGGGCTGGAGATGAGGGTTTCAGTATGCTGGCTGCCATGGGGAGACAGGACAACCCAGCCATGTCTCACTGCAGCAGTTTGGGGCCACGTGAGAAGCGCCTGTCCATGGCCACTGTGGCTCCAGCAGGCACAGCCAGGAGAGAGGTGCATGTCCCCTGACAGGGGGACAGACAGACATACAACGTCTCTAAAATATATATATATACACACACACACACACACACACACGGGTTGCCAGGTGTCCAGTATTCACCCGGACTGTCTGGTATTTTTGCCTCCTGTCCAGGAAAAAAAAATTCAGAGAATACGGGACACCTAAAATATCCGGTATTTTCTGATTTTTTTTCCACTGGCCAGGAGGCGAAGATGCTGGGCACTTGGCAACCCTACCAACACCCAGCACCTGGCCTCCCCGCCCCTTGCCCCAACCGTCATGCTTACCTGGCTGGCCTAGTGGAGTTATAGCTGTCCCGGTCCCCATCTTTGGCCTCAGCTGTCACCGCCCCTCATAGCCATTATACAGTATAATTGTCCCTGCTAGTAGACCCCTTCCTTTCTATTTTATGAGAAGCAATCCCATTCCAGGCACATCTCATCATCCTGGCACAAGCAAACCATTACCTTGGCTTTAAACCATAAGAAGAAACAACACACCAGATGTAACATTCCTCACTCTTACCATTTAGGAGGAGTTCTTGAACAGACACAGAGACAGACACAAACAAACTCTCTCAAATGTACAGTAGATTGTCTAAATCTATTGGGTAGTTCTCATCCCAATTGTAATGAAAAACAGTAAAATAGTAGCGATTTTCAGTCAACTTTAATTAGAACAGACTGTAAATTTGTTAGCTGTGCACAAAATCATCTGACAGTCCAGAGAGTTTTCAGCTGTTTTTCAAATTAAAACTCTAGGGCAGGGGTGGCCAATCCACAGCTCTTTGATTAAGGAAATACTGTTCCTGCTGCTTCTGAGCCGCGTGCCCAGACTGCTCATGGCCGGCTGCTGTGCACACACGCCCAGCGCCTGGAGGGAAAAATGTGTGGCAGTGGTGGCAGCTCTGGGACCCAGGCATTAGGTTGGGGGGGTGGCTGGGAGTGCCTGGCCCTGGGGGAAGGGAGAGGCATTAGGCTGGGGCGCCGCCCCCGGGAGGGAGGGGTGGGGGGGCGGGGGGGGGGGGGGGGAGGGGCTAGGAGTGCCTGGCTCTGCGGGAGGGCATTGGGTTCAAGTGGGGATGGGAAGGGGGGACTGGGAATGCCTGGCTCTGGGGGAGAGGTAGGGCACTGGGTTAGAGCAGTGGGACGGGGGACTGAAGCAAGTTCAACTCAAAGTCTTCATGGATGCAGAGTAAGGCAGCCAACACAGATGTCATGTTTAAATTCCAGGGCAAAAAAAAAAAAAGAATCAGCATGTATCTGGTTTACAGTGATTCTTTAAAGAAACTTCAAAGGCTATTGTTTGCCAGACTGAAGCAATTATTCTGAGAAATGAGTCTCTCCCTTATTGTTTTTGAACCTCTCATATTTGCAGTCTGGGACGGATCTGAATTTTTAGAATGATAAAAAAAGCCATAATCTTTATAAGTAAAAAAAATGAGGAAACCATACCAGAGATCAATAAGCTGGTGTGAAACAGGCACTTCAAAATGTGCTAATTTACTTCTCAGTTCAGTTTAATTTAAAAAAAACTCACAGGACATAATAAAGCAGTAGTGTTAAATTTAAAATACATGGTAGGAATGCTTTTAAGTGAGAGAATATTACTGTATATTTAAAGGGGTTTTTTTTTTTATTTGATGTTTGGTCCTTGTCAAGTTCTCTGAAGATCTACGGACTAGCCGTGGATTTTTTAAGTGACTAGTGACTTTTTATTGGCTTTTGTCCGAAATATCCTGTAATGTTATTTTTATCACTACATTTTGTGTACTATATTTATTTATCTTTCTATATATAGATATATACAAATAAATATAGAATACGTGAATACGTGGCTCTTTGCACTCTGTTCACCACTATTTTGGCTCTTGGTCTCTAACTGGTTGACCACCCCTGCTATAAGGCACTTATGATCCCTTTTAGTAGGGATTTCAAGATTCTAGATCTTTGATCTTACAGACTTTAGCCTTTAGATTAAAATGTATTGCACTTAATGCCAACAACAATTAACCAAGTTTTATTTTAAATCTTTTGCTCAGCACAAAAAGTTTAAAAAGCACAGATAGGCATGCTGTAAAATAATCACATTCATTCAGTTAAACATTAACAAGGGAGATAAAGAAAGAATTGAAAGTTAAATTATTCCATTGTACTGGGGTTAGGGGTATGATCCAAGCCTATGGAAGACAACTAGACTCTTTTCCATTGACTTCATCAGGCTCTATCACATGAGACCATGAAAACCTATGGATGTGCTTAAATAGTGCAACTGAATTCAACATATTTAAATAAATTATATACTTAATCTGAAACATAGGTGCAAAGAGTCATGCTGTTGTCAGGTGCAAAGAAAATCTCAATGAAAAATGAGCAAGTAAATTAGTCAATGTCAGCTATCTTTGCAGATGTACTCTATCCTGCATTTTTTCTGCTCAGTGGGGATGAAACATAAGTTTACACAAGTTCTTTGTGGAAACAGGTTCTTAGGATATAAATGGTGTTAAAAGTATATTCTACAGTTAAAATATCAGCAATACCAAATCCTTTTTCAATGCTATGATCATCAACAGAGATTTATATATGACTGGGAAAAGGTTCTTACATTATATTTATTAAAATGGACTTGTTAATTGAAGGACCAATGCAGATGCTTTGTCAAGAGTACCAAAGGAGACCTGAGTATGATCAGACGGTTAACAAATTAGATCTTGTGCTACAACACAGCAGCAGAAAAAGGGGATGTTATTTTCCATTGCACGTGCAGAAGCATCACATCCCAAAGGAAGAGGGCTACAGTTCTGATTTTACATTAGTGGCATTGCCGAAATGCCACATAATTGTGGGCATATTTTTGCTATTGGAAGAAAGATCCTAATGAGGCTTTCCAGAAAACAAATGGTGGACGTGAAATGAAACCCATGGCCTTCCACTGGACGATGGCAGGCAATGGCTGCTTCCCGGTGGACTTGCAACAAGCTAATTAGGTCCAGATTACCTGAGGGATAGAATATAATCTAAAATGACAAGAATTTGAGCTGATTCTCATGATTTTTGATGAAGACTTTTCTGCTGTGATTGGGGGTAGTTAGAATGGCCTTTGAAAATGAACATTCCTGGGCTGATGCCTATCCAAATACCAGGCCATGAGATGAAGATGAAATGGGTTGGGATGTCTGGCCCTGCCATTCTTCTGAGTTACCAGATTTGGAGAGAGATCGATATTGATGGGAGGATAGAATGACATTCTAAGGAAATCCAGAAACTGAAACTATCTTGGCCAATTGATGGCAATGAGGATGATCTAAGCCCTGTCATGGCATATTTTCTGCACAGGTAGCAGGGGGCTGGGCAGGACTGAATGGGTGAAACACAATGCAATGTGAGCTGGACTGACTGTTCTTTGTTCTAGTAAGTTTGTATGTTTCCTGTCCCCCTAAGGAGTCAAAATATCCTCTGCAGTGTGACTGTTCATGTGGGTTCCTCATCTCATGAGGGATGCATCTGTGACAGTGGTCACGTCAGGTGTGGGTGTACGGTGTTAGTCTCTAAGGTGATGCGGGACTATTCATTGCTTTTTTTTTCTTTTTTTTTCCCCCTTTGGCAATATATTCCAGTGCTTAATCATTCTGACAGGAATGTTCTCTGAATGTCCCACCTCAGCCACCCTGGCTGCAATTTAAATTCATTACTTCTTGTCCTACCATCAGAGGTTAAAGAGACCAATATTTCTTTCGCGTTAAGAGACCATGTGACTTTCTCCAGAGAAAGCATTACTGATGCCAATGTGACCATGAAGAGAACTGAAATGTACTCAATTTACTTACCTTATTTCAATGACACCTAATACACAGAACCAAAGATTAACTGATGAGTTTTTAAAAGGTTAAGATTTTTAAATATGAGTGCTAGAACACAACAGTTTTAACAGGTTGTCAGAAAAAAAAAAATCTATAGGAGATCTATACTTTCATTAAAAGAAATCAAGTTAGTTCACTAACCACTCTGCATGTAGAAAGACAGCACAAACCACAAACTGCTCTCCCTAGAGGACATGAATGATATAAGTAGAAAAAGAAGAATTTTTTCCACCAAAACCAAATGTGATTTTCACACAGTTGTGTGATTAAGTGGCATTAAGAAGTGATGTTCCCTACAAGTAGAAAAGTCCTTCTGAACACTTATGGCAAGACAATGGAACATAGACTAGTAATAATAATTTACTAGATTTACCTATTTAACAGAAACATTCCTCTCTGCTTTGCCAAATCCCCAACCAGTTCCTCTCCATCCAGCTTCCACTCCCCACCCCACCAAATTTTTATAAATATTCATGGCAGAGGTTTTTTTCTAATTTTGGAAGTTCCTAGCCCATTTTGGATACTCCTCAAACTTCAGGTCTACGATCATGAAACGACAGCATGCCGAGTAAAGATAGTTCAGCTACCTTTACAGTGTATTTCCTTACTTTAAATTATGGTACTTTTACTGACTGCTATTTGTCTGGAATTTACACACCCTTAAGTTACCAATATGTACTTTTAATCTTAGTTTTTTGTCTCAGATAGTAGAAAAAGCTGGCACACAATGTCCACCCTATTTGGAGTAATGTTCTAATAAATGCACAGTCACTATATTCTTTCCATTTCTTTTGATAAATGTGAATAGCTAATGCTACTATGAGGACTATTAGAGCAACACAATAACAGCACAAAATAAAAGGCATCCTGTAGATAATTTTACTGAACTCACTGTGTAACAACTGTGCCTTTAATTCATGGTTATTCCTCAAGGATGTGTTTAGGAATGCAAATAGCTCTAGTATAGTCACTTTTCTCAAATCAACTTGTTTAAAAATATGAACTTTAATGTATACAAGTGTCTTTAGAAAATACACTGTTTACTGATGATACCGTCGCCTTACTGCGTTGCTAGGAAATAAAATCTCTAATGCCAACAAGTTTTACAATTCAACAAGATTGCTATCACACAACTGAATACTCCTGGTTTAAAGTTCAACAAACAATTCACTGTACCAACTTATTACACAGAAATGGCACCTGATTTAGGAGTCTCCACTGGATAAATCAAGTACTTCAAAAATTTTAAAAATATTGTTCCTTTGTTTTCTTTAGATTGCCTAAGTAATTGCAACTTTTATTGTATTACATTCCAAGCATGGCCTCTCAGGCACTAAACATGTGAGCTTTTACAATGTCAAAAATTAACCTAAGAAAACTGAAAGACTGATCTACTCAACATTTAGGCTACATCTAGACGGCAAACCTCTTTCAAAAGAGCTTTTTCAAAAGATATTTTCAAAAAAGAGCGTCTAGATTACAACCAGTACTTTCGAAAAAGCTAGCCACTTTTTCAAAAGAGAGCACCCAGGCAGTCTGGATGCTCTCTTTCGAAAAAGCACAGTTTGCATTACATAATGCCTTTTTTCGGAAGAGTACTTTCAAAAAAAGGCATTCTTCCTCGTAAAACGAGTTTTTTCGTGGTTGAAAAAAATTGCCGCATTCTTTCGATTTACTTTAGAAGAACACGGCAGCAGTCTAGACACAAGGGAAGTTTTTTTAAAAAAAAGCCACTTTTTTCGAAAAAACCCTGTAGTCTAGAAACATCCTAAGTGTTTGCATTAGGAAATGCAGTAGAAAGGCACAGCAAATTGCTCTTGCTACACATAATGATCAGAAGGTACAACTTCTGCACTGATGTACATTGCTATAAATGTGTAATTATAATTAACATTTTCAGCAGTAACTCTAGTCTTAGGTCTTATAACTATGAAAGACAAAGAGTCACTATACATCAACACAAACTTTAAAATGTGTTAATTCAAAATAAATTGAGATCTGTCTTCCAGTTACGAAGTGAACTGCTTTCATAACCAGAACAGGCAATTTTTAATTTGTGCATCTTTAACTTAAAAGGTTCTTCACATGCCAAAATGACCAGTGGTAATTTATTAAAAAACCTATTGCAAATGAGTTTGCAAACATCAAATCCTATTCTTAAAAAGCTTTGCAATTAATGACCTCATCCAAACTAGCCACTGGATTACACCAACTCAACTCCACTGACTTCAGTGGTGTTGTGCACAAAAAGTAATGCTTCTGGTCCACCAAACGTTTAAAAAGAATACTCAGTATTTATCAGCGCCATACCTTCCAACACATGAGCCCAGGAAGTTCCACTATCAAACCAGATATCCAGGACATCCTGTCCCTGTACATAATCCAGTACATTGTGGCTACCAACCTAATGAAATAACAGTTAAATAGTATTAATAAGAGAAAATAAACATTTTGCGCCTTTAACTGGAAGAAGGTGAGTGTCTCCAAAATAGAAATAACCAAAGCAGATTTTGGTTTTGGTCCACCAATTTTGCAGAAGATGCACATTTTGCAAGAGGTTATTTACAAAATTATACACAATGGTTACTTTTCAGAAGACAAATGACCCTCTCTCTCCTCCCTTCTCACATCTTCCCCTCCCAAAAATGTCAGAAACCACTGTTTCTGCACTGCACACTGGACATATACTTCACACGTGCACAGTGCTGGAAGATTAGGGCCACAAACACAACACAAACAGTAGCAAGTATTACAGAAAAATTAGCCTTAGCCAGAAGAAATGATTACATTTTAAGCCTGTGTATTAACTGTTCCCTCAGTTACCTGCTCAATGATCATTGGAACTGCAAAATTTCTGGCATCAATCTGATATACAACATTGAAACATAGCACAGTACAATGCACAGTCTCAATGTGCACTCTTAACATTTTGTAACAAATAAAAAGTCATAAGGATCATAGAAATATCTGAGGGTTTAATATTGCTGCCCAGCATTGTAGCCACCAAGTACCTTCTACGTAAAATCAACAGCATTAGCTGTCTTGCCCTTACTGTGTTAGGGGAGATCTAACCCTCTCCATCTCTCTTGCAATTTCAACCCTATATGTTAACACTCAGAAAGTTACCTTTTTTGGCAGAAGCTGTTCAACAGGAAGCTTCCACCATGCATCACTTCCATGCTGCTCCACTATTTTAATAACATTCTCAATGATTTCACTGTGTAAGAAGGAAACTGATTAGCATAGTTCAATCAAGGAGCAGCTATACATTCCTTAAAGCAGGGAGGGGAACCTCAGGCTCAGGGGGCTGGATGTGGCCCCCAGCTTACCTGGATCTGGCCCCCGAGGCTCAGGGCTCCTCCCCTACCAGCACTGGGGAGCCCGTGCTGGTGCTCCAGCCCCACGCTACCACACACTGCAGGGCTGGAGTGGTTGAGCACTACCAGGCTAAATGACCCAAATTCAAAGACATATTAGAAAAGCATATAAATGGTACTTAGGGGGCCATTCCTTATGCTAGCTAACAAAGCCTTGTTAAATAGACCAGAGCTTTGAAAGACAAACCTATATTGTTAGAGAAATGGAAGAAGTTAGTGATTGTATTGATCTGTGTTTACCTATATCTTGTTAGAGGTTTGTTGGGGGAGGAGTACCAGTTTTGTTCCCCATCATTTTGTTTTACTCTCTGAGGCCTTGTTAGCCCCCCACATCACGATCCCATGTCTGAAAATAGTGGGAAAAGAAAAGGAGGGAAAAGTAGGGTCACCTGACCTAATCTGCCTAACAACTACAGGCTTATAAAGGATGTTAACCTTTCCCTCAGGGCTCTCTGCACAACTCTGCGGTGCTGGAGTGACTAATTCTCATGGAAGAATTTGAACAAACTCTATATGGACTGCCTATTTTGGACCATCACCCGATGAACTGATTCGGGAAAGAATTTTTTGCAATTCAGCAACTCACCATCTCTACTATGAAACTGACCTAAGAACTTTATTCATATCTGTATGTACAGTTATAGTTATTAAGATCTGGTATGTGTATTTGAGAAAATCTTAAACATTCATTGACCTAGTGTGAGTAATGTTCCTGACCCTTTTGGATCTTGGTAGATCTCCACCCTGGACTAGGAAGATGCCTGCCTTCTCTGGGCCCTGGCAGGCTCCTGGGAGCTGGCAGACTGCTCCTGGGGAACAGTGGAGGGCTGCCTGCCAGTGGCTTGCTGGCTCAAGTTTTGGGGCCACTGGGTCAGGGACAGTGACTGCTGGCTCTGGGCTAGCAGCCTTGGAGCTGGCACAGGCACTGTGGCCAGAGTCTACCCCTTTAAGGGCTCCGGGAAGGAGGGAGAGTAGTGTTCGTGGTTGAGGCTGGAGTGGCCACCAGGGTACCCTGGGAAAGCTGGAGGACCCCTATTTTGAATAAATGTCTGCACAGCACTTCTTTCAAAATAGCTATTTCCAATCTGGTGTTATTCCTCGTGGAATGAGGTTTACCCAAATCGAAATAAGTGCTCCACTATTTCGAATTAATTTCGAAATAGCGGTTTGGCTGTGTAAACACTAGTAAAGTTATTCTGAAATAACGGCTGTTATTTCAAAATAGCTTTGCTGTGTAGATATACCCTAATTTCTTTATGAATACTTTTACAAAGACATCATGGATCGGCCTAACCTTTTATCAACCATAATGTTATACAAAATAAAGCCATATGGTTAATTTATAAACATCAGTAGGAAGTTATTTTAGAGTGTAAATCTGCCTGAATCTGATGTGAATTAACAGATAATTTTCTCTTCTGCAATATAGAAGCAGCAGATAATTTCTCAGATTCTCATGGTTACATTATACACTTAATTATACAAAATAAAAGTAATCAAATATTGACAGTTTACTAATAATTAGCCAGTATTCCCAGGTTTTGTGCAATTTTGAAATAAGCTAACTGTAATGGTTCAGCAATTTAAAATTATTTCCATCTCATTTAATAAAGCATTTTAAAGAAATAGTTGTACACAATATCTAAGATGCCAAGAATGTAGCTTCTGCCTCCCTGTAAGAATTTAAAAGCTACTTCTCTGAACTTTCCCCAAGATTCTCATGAATAAGTTTTCTTCCTATTACCTTTGCACGTTTAGAACATGTATTATATGCATATTTTAAAAACCTAAGGTGAAATTCTCTCTACCTACTATACTTATGTAAAGAGCCTATGAAAAAACAGCTCTCACCTAATTACTTATCACTCTACAATCTATATGCTTCCATGCAAGCACAATAATTCATAGAGTAAGCAATAAACCCCATTGTTAAACTTTGCCTTATAGTCATAGGGCATATCTAAAAGAACTTGCATTACGTGTCACTTGCTAAGTCTCTAACAGTGAAAACCGATGAGGTAATTCATGCTACCATGACACCAACCAATCATTTTGAACTCTGATATTACTTGTACTGATTGCTTATTTAGGGCGTCATCAGAAATTAAGCGGCACTAAGATGATTCCCAGCAGAAGAAAAAAACGTTCCTGGTGTTTGCTAATCCTCTTTCTTTTTGTATAACAATGGAGTACAAGGTAGATTCTCTTTTTACACAGGTATCAGTTCTTTGACAAACAGGACTTCAGAAGAGATGAGGTAAGTTGCTAATGTTCTGAACTTAATGAAATGTGTTTTCAATAAAGTTCAATTTAATCAAATTATTTTCTTACAATTTTAGATCTATTTATACAAGCATTATGTGACTGGATTTTCTACGTAACATTTAAGTGATTACATTCCTAATTTATAATAAAATCAGGAAAAGGGGAGAACATTTCTTGGAAACTGTAATAGTCCAATATATCAATTAATGCCAAATATTCAGATAACTGCGACTTACTTTACTAATTCATTACCTATTAAAGTTATCACTTCATATTTGTTACTTGACGTGAGCTACTATTCTCAATCTTAGCTTTTAATTTCCTGAATTTATTTTTAAAAAGTCAATATAGTCCCTAGGATATTGTTACTTTTTCAATAAATCTAGGAAAATTTCATTAAAATATTTACTTGAAAACCTAATGTTGGAGAGTGGCAGTAGCATAAATCAGATAAACTATTTAGTTTGTTAAATTATTTTGTGCACTTATTTAAATTTTACACAAACACGCTTTACGCACATCTATCTTTACTGCCCACATTCTCATAATGACTATTTGGAAAACCGCACTTATTCAATAACCTCTCTCACACAGAAAGTAAAAATTTGCCATTTTACTGAAACTTGTGAACTCACAACTTAAATATCCTGAGGAGATAGAAATACTTTCTTGTGGCATTTAGATCATGTTTAATGTTGCAAGACTGCTTGTTGCTATAAGCTCAAAATGCCTGCAATGGCACACGTGAATGAGAGTAAGAAAGCAGATTCTTAGAGAAAAGAAACGTTAAGTGTAACTTATTCAAAATTAGAACTAGCTGTTTTTAAAATCGGAAGTAACAGCATAATTGCAATTAAAAAAAACTTGTCTTAAGGCATGTAAACTACATCCTTCAAAATGAGAATGGTGCGGATTTTAAAATGGCAAGTTCATGGGCATACCCATTCTTGCACGGGAAGATATATCTGGTTTATTTTAAGACAATTACTATTTAAAGTTAAGTATGGGAAATCATTCAAGACTAACCAGCAGTGTTATCAGATGTAACAGCAACTCCATGTGGACTACACCAACTTCCAGTGGAGATGCTGTTACTTTTGATATCTACTGATAGAACGTGGAGCAGCCACACACATTTATACAGCACTGGAGTTAAAAATATAAGTGCAATTTTGAATCATTCATGTATATATGTCTGTATATTTAGAAGATAGTAGAAGCTTCACGTACCATATCATGTTACATACTGTAATGTCTGAGAACAAACTACAATAAAATACGTAGGACTGCTGTATATTTTATTAAGATACGGTATATAGGAAAATGACCTATGAATTGATAGACTGTGACTTTTAAATTTGTCTGTCAGTTCTGTAGGCCAATTTTCTGTATGCCTTAACTGCTTTGGAACCAGAAGACTGCTATGGCTAACTTAGAGAAAATTTGCCTCTGGATGTACTGTGAAATATTTTGAAGAACAAACTATAATACTTATTTACATGTTAATGTTCGTTATTTATATAAAAGTGTTTTAAAAATGAAACAGATGTTATGGCAGCCAGAGAGAATAAATCTAACTTTCAATCAGATAGTACATGAGTCTTTTCTGTATTTCCTCTTCAGTCTCATGTGCTGTATTGACCTTTACCCACCTCCATGTTGCTTTTTGACATTCATGAATAATGGGCTGATATCAACTTACACAAAGATGGAACGGCTGATCTACCGCAGTATTTTCTCTGTAAAAATGCCCCAACAATACCACTGCTCACACAATTCCAGCAACGTGTCAAAGTTAAAAGGTTTACAAAGCACACATTTTGGCTTATGTTCTTTGCCTTTAATATAGCTATAACTAAAGGAGAATTCACTATCTTCAAATATGTTCCCTATTGCCCAGCTAAATGTATGCACTCACTCCTATTTGTGTATTTATGGTATTTAGCTATAATTTCAGAGAAAAATATTGCTTAGTGCACATTTTCGTAGCTTGTCCGACTGCCAAGTTGTGCTACACAGGTTTTTTGTCATTCACATAATACTAAATTATCTATTTTTCACACAATTCTTGAATACTAAAATGCAAAGCATACTTAAAAAGGCTTCTTTCTACATAGACTATAATGGCTCCATACTTTACTGGGTAAATATATATTAAGTCTTTTGATAAATACTTTTTTAACTAGATGAATGACTTCCACATGTTAAGAGATTATCTTAACCCATTATATAAAGTCTTTATACATTTCTCTACAAGAGTATTTTGGCATTATTTGCATGCTGTTAACAAAAAACAGACAGAGGAAGTGAACAAAAACAACTGCGTGGCATGCACCACACACATTGACTAGGTTTGCATAACATCATAGAATTGGAAGACACCTGAAAAAGTGATCTAGTCCAGTCTCTTGCACATGGCAGAAGTAAGTATTATTTAGACCAGTGGTTCCCAACTTTTTTTTTATATTGCGGACCGGTAAACCCATTCACAAACGTTTGGCAGACCACTAACATTTTATTTGCATATCCACCATCAGACCGCCCTGTGCCAGCCTCCTGTTTGGGCCATACTTTAATGCTCAGCATTGGTGAGGCCTCCGATCGAGTATTACATTCCATTTTGGGCATTATCTTTAAGATATGGAGAAACTGAAGACCATCCAGAGAAGAGCAACAAAAATGATAAAAGATTTAGAGCAGTTTTTCTTAAACTTTTTAAGACTGAGGAACACCAAACAATCAATATATATATATATATATATTTTAATGAGGAACACCAAGGATTTTTTTGTTGAGAGAAGGGGGGGAAAAAAAAGCTTGCCCCTTGAACACCAGACAACAGCTTTACACTTTTACTGACAACAACAATATTCACTCACTGCCCTATAAAGCCTTCTAAACTTCTGCCTTTTTGATTGAGTAAATTACATTTCCCTAGTTTACTCATATTGGTGGAAATTATAAATTCAATACCTTATCAAGCATGGGTTAATGTCAAGCAGCTGACTGACAGCTGCCATAACAACCACGCCAGCATTAGGGGCACTGAGGGCCTTACCCTGCCCCCCAATTCACAGTGGATCTCTTACTGCTTAATGTTTTGTCTTTCAATAGTTCTAGTCCCTGGCTCTGTTATTTTTTTTTACACAGAATACTGAAGGGAAGGGCCTGTCTGTTCTAGAGGGTGGAAGGTGCTGGCCCTCCTCAGCTGTCCTGGGTAAAAAGCGAGAGCTAGAGACAGCGGTGCAAAGACCCGGTCGGGGTGGCAGCTTTAGGGCAGTTCTCTCCCCTAGCAGGCAGGATCCCCAGACCAGCAGCGGAGAGCCGGCCCTGCAGCTAGCCCTGCAACGCTCCTCCCCTTTGGCAAGGGACGCAACTGAGGCGCGGAGCTTTCCCACGTGGTTGCAAGCAAGGCGCAGAAGCACATGAGGAACCTAAGTAGCCCTGCCACATTTCCTGCTGTGTCATCACTTGCTTGCCTCTTCCGCCCTTCACGCGCAAGCACAGGAGGAGGAACGCAGGTAGCCCCGCCTCATTTCCAGCCACCTCACCACTCGCTCATCTCTTCGCACCACCCGCTGCGTCTCAGCAGCTCTCCCGGCCATTTTTTTTCTTCAAATGGCCACGGCACACCTGTGAGCGCTCCACAGAACACCAGTGGTCCATGGAACACAGTTTAAGAAACAAGGATTTAAAGCAACCTGATCTAAGGAAAGATTTAAAAACCACGTTGGGGGCCACTGCCCTAACTTTATGGTAACAAACATCAAATAGGGTTCTCTGAAAAAATAAAATGGTCTCCAATTTAACTCTGAAATAGGTAGGATTTTTTGTTTGGTTTGGGGGTTTTTTAATTCAGCACCTGATTTCGACATCCCATTTTTTACTTCTCATTTCATGGCCATACATAAACTCTTCAATTTCAGAAATTTTTATTATAATTCAATAGGTACGTTCATAATTCCAAGATTATAGTTATAATCTATTAAAGCTACAGCATGCATTAGCTGTTCTTTATATTCAATATTAACGTATAACATCAGCTCTACTGAGAGCCTATTAAATCACAGACGACTATCACAGAGGATCATTAGCTGACTGCCAGTTAATAGTATGAAACAGATCTAGACTATTGTAATTAAATCACATTCAGTAATACGTCATTGTTCCCTCTTTTTCCATTAAAAATAACAATTTAAAATTAACTATGCAAAACTACAAATTTTGCAGTCAGGAACCAAAACAGATTTTCTTGCCCTTCAACTATTTGTAGTTTTAATATTTTATATTGGTTGAATCTCTCTAACTTGGGACTTGACCAGTGCTGAACCAGAGAATTTGCTGGACCAAGGGAGGTCAATATTACCTAGCAGTATTACCAACATTTCCACTGTTTACTGGGTTCTTAGTAGACACTTGGGGCTAAATTAGAGGTAAATAACAGCACAGAAAACTGAGACTCAGGACTGGTGGCTGTAAACAAACTTTATGGGACCACAGGAAACTTAGTCACACCCATGATAGGTGGACATCTAGCTAACTAAAATCATGCTGGACTACAGAGGTTGCCAGGGTAGAAAGGTTCAACCTTTATTAGTGCAAGACAGGTCTCTTATTTTTTATTTGAATTAAATAGATACCTGTTTATTAGGGATTCTCCTGTTGTCTTATGGTAGAATACTGGAATTGGGACACCCCAACTCTTCTGTCTTGAGATGCACCAATATGTCCTTCTATCCAGCATTTCTAGCATTCTATTCACTGCTGATGCAGGAATAAATTTCACTTTTTTTAACAATTCCTATGAAATAACCAGAACTAGTATTATTTAAGGTTGGAGCACATTCCAAATTTAACAAAAGGATACTATTTATTTTCTCAGGGCACAAAGAGCTACTGGCATGAATCCTCACATATTGATATAAGCTCCAAGGTATTATCTCACTGATGTCATCACCATCACTCACTTTATTTTCTGCTTAAATCTACCTATCTGAATTACTTACATTAAAGATTGTGAGGTGCTTGGTAGCACGAGTCATGTATTTATCCTCACAAGCCTTCTATTACGCCCATTTTACAAAGGGAGACTTGAGACCCAGAGAAGTTAAGTGATTGCAAAGGTCATACAGGAAGTCTGGGGTTAAAAGGAAGTATTGAACCCAGCTCTCCCAACCACTGGAACCTTCCTTTTTCAGAGGCTTAAATGGAAAATAGCATAAGTGCACAATTAATCTAAAGTTGGTGGTAAATAAATTAAACTGTAACTGTTGATAATTTCTAAACTAATTGTTACTGTGATTGCTATCAGCATCAAAGTGTTTGTAAACACGAAGGGAAAAAGCATACATTTGCAATAGAATCTATACGCTAGGCAAAGACCCAATGTGATAACAATGGCCTTTACACTCCTTCACACAGCAAACTATGGAACAAAGTCTGGTACCTGGGCTGTAGCCTTGATATCTGCCGTGTTTACAAACCACTGTTTGCTTGCACGAATAATCACTGGTTTTTTAGTCCTCCAATCATATGGGTAGCTATGTACACATTTCTCCTCTTTTAATAAATTCTTTGCTGCTTGAAGCATCTGAATAACTAATGAGAATGAGAATTAAGAATTAGAAGTAATAAGAAATCAGATGAGCACAACACTGCTAATACTACTATAACTCCACTTTTTTCCTTTCCTCAAAGTCCTATTCCCATCCTCCTGATTCAAGTTGAACCTCACTAGTCTGGCACTCTCTGGTCCAGTAAAATCCATGGTCTGGCATGATTTTAGTTAGCCAGATGTCCACTTACCCTGGGTGTGACCAAATTTCTCATAGTCTCCAAGTTTGTTTACAGCCACCAGTCCTGGGTCTCAGTGTTCTGTGCTGTTATTTAGCTCTAATTTACCCCTAAATGTCTTCTCAGAGCCCAGTAAGCAGTGAAAGGGTTGGTAAAGCTGCTAAACAATACTGGTCTCCCTTCAAATTCTCTGGTTCGGCACCAGTCAGGTCCCGAGGATGCTGGACTAGAGAGATTCAATCTGTAATTGGAAGTGCCAGTATTTCATCTACTCTAAGATCTATTTGGTTTACACGAACCTTTAAAATATGACAGACTAAGCTTCAGAGAATAATGACTAATTGAACACAAGACACTAACCAGCTTCATTTCCTTCTTCCAATACAGCCTTGTTGTGAAGCTCAGGACCTGCAGCTTCTGTAAAACATCCATCTTCATCTACCAGGCAATCCTAAAAGCAAGAATATTCTTAAGCAACGTCAAAATATTAAGGGACCTTTTGCTTTTTGAAACTCTGAAATTATGAACTAAGAATGCACTGTAATACACCACACATCTGAGGCAGGCTGAGAAATAAGATGTCACTTTTAACATTCAAGCTAATTATGATGTAATTATCCCAAAGTTTGCCAACATGCCACTAAGCCTAAATCCTCATACAGGATGAACTCCACTGAGTTTGTGAGGATACAGGATTCATATTACTACATTAAGGGTACATCTAAACTGCACGCTAATTTTGAAATAAACTATAGTTATTCTGAAATAGCTTATTTTGAAATAGCACGTCTACTTTAGGGAAGTCTGCCTCGGACTAATTTTGAGGCTTCTCTGAAGTGTAGAAGTGCTATCTCTGTTTAGCACCCCAGGAGGCACTGGGGAGGAATAACTTAGAATGGCTCTGGTGAGGGGCTATTTCGAAATAGAAGAAGTGGAGCATCTACACACACTTTATTTCAAAATAGCTATTTCGGAATAGGTGTTATTCCTCGTAGAATGAGGCTTACCGATTTTGGAATAAGCCATCCGTTACTTCAAAATAACGGAATGGCTGCATAGACACTTGCATTGTGAGTTTGAAATAATGCTAGTTATCTCGAAATAATGGTGCAGTGTAGACACACCCTGAATACTATTCCACTTAATTCTTAACTGATAGAAAAACTACAGACAGAACAGAAGTTTTTCCCACTAGGGATGTAAAATCCTATTTAACTGGTTAAACATATTTCTTTGTTTACTTGGTTAACTGGGTGGTGGGGGGGTGGGCGGAAGAAGGAGGGGAAGACTGTGAGGTGCCACGGCCTGCTGTGGACAGACGCTCTGGCCTGCCTGGAGCAGCCTCCTAACCACGGTGGGCGGAGAGATGCTCCTGCCTTCACAGGTTAACCTTTCACATTCCTAATTCCCACATTAGAAATTTAGCCCTGGTGTTACAAGAAGAGAGGGGAGGCTTTTTTGGCAACAAGCTTCAAAACCTCTCACTTTTATATTTAAACCAAATCACATCACCTTCCACAGAACAGTATCCCATAACATTATGCAGAAGCATTATTTCAGAACTGACTAGGAGTAAACAGCACCATCTAAACTACTATTAACACTACTACAGACTGCATCATCCAGGGAACAGGGTGCTCAACTATAAAAGACACAGATGAGTCCTATTTCTACTGCTGCCACTAGTGCGATGTATGTGCAATGGCAAATTACTTGGTCACTCTTTGCCTTGGTAAAACAAAGCACTGAGATGAATTTAAACAAATACTATTGTCACCATCTTCTAGATTTTCCTTGGGCATCTCTCCTCTAAATACTAATTCCTTCATTCAAAAGCTGATCAAATTACACTTTGATGATCTGACAGCAAGAAAAGAGACAAGCCAACAGAAATCTAGAATACCACAAGGAAACATTTACATATTATAGAACTATCATTATTTGGCTAGTAAGCTACTTTTTCTTTTAAGCAATTCCCATAAAAGAGGATTGTTTCTTTACTAACGCTTTTTACATTTATATAGCATCTTTGTTCCTCTCAAAGAATCTCTCAAAGGCCTCAAAGCTTCCTAAGATACTAAAAACAATAATTATCTATTTTTCCTGACGGCTTGGCAAACTGAGGCACAAAAAGTTGCAAAAGTACTATTCCATTTCATTGCTATACTGCCAAGTTCATGCAACAATTGGCTCTAAAGTGGACCCATTTTTCCTATGTATGTTTTTATAATCCAAGCCTTTGCTCTTCCAAAGCCAATTCTGTTTACAGCAGGTCTCCAAATTAATCAGTGCTATTCATAGTTACAGGCAGGCATCAGAACAATTTTAAATGTTATGCAAAATATGTAAGTTTGTGACATTTACATTTTGGTGTGGGATCAAACACATACAGATTAAAAGCAAGGGGAAAAAAACAAATGAAAGTACCATGGGCAACTGGTGGTGGGAAGCTACACTGTAATCCTCCATACCATGAGCTGGGGCTGTGTGAACTAAACCTGTTCCTTTTGTCATTGTCACATGATTTGCTGGCAAGAAAGGGGAGACTCTGCCAGGAATCGTGGGATGAGCACAAGAACCATTTTCCAAATCAACACCTGAAGCAAAAAGAAATGGGATAGTCAACAATTTAAAAGTCCAGACTGTGTCTTGCAAAGTTTGTAATTATTTTTGATTTATGACTATTGATAAACAAAAACACAAATATCCATACCAATACAGTTTTCCATATCCACCCTCCAGATGACTATGCTTCCCTGTTTCTCCATTGCCACCACTCGTATACAGGTGCACCCCATGCTTCCAGAAGAATTTTTTTTCCTGAGCCAGGCAATGCTACTCTAGAAGTAGTTGAGCAATATAAGGCATTCCTAACCTATAGGCACTAGGGATGTTAAATTTCGTTTAATAAACTAATCGACTACTTGATGGATTTTCTATTGACTAGTCGATAAGCAGGGGAGCCACAGTGGGGTTACCCAACAGGCTCTTGATACATTTAAAAGGCTAAAGTGGAGGAGGGACCCAGCGCGAGCCAGGACAGCTGCTCTGCGGCTCGCGCCAGGTCTCCCCCCTGCTGTGCTTCTGATTTTTAAATGTATTAAGGTTCAGGAGGCTCTTAATACATTTAAAACGCAGAGGTGCAGCATCCAGGACTGGTGCGAGTCAGCAATCAGTTGATTCCTAGCTCACACCCATTCCGCGCTACTTCCGTGCCTCCCCTGCTCCCCGCGCAGATGGTGCTGAGGGAGGGGCAGGGGGAACTGACTTTTAAGGCAGCTGCTCCCAAGAGAGGCAGCAAGGGGAGGGGAAGCAACTAGTCGAGGGACTAGTCAACTAGCCAATAAGCTTTTGCTTATCAGATAGTTGACTAGTCGCTTACATTCCCAATTGGCACTAAGTGCATTCCTATCTGCTGCTGTTTTAGGTCTAGTTTTCTGAAGACAAGAGACCTGAAATCTATCCACAGCTTTGCTTCTAACTTTCCATTTCACCATGAGCACATGACTTTATTATATATACACACTGTATCTTTACGACATTCTAAAACAAAGATACTTAAACACTAGGCAACTAATCATTTTATAGTACAATAACTCCTTGCTTTAATGTTATAGTTATGTTTTTGAAAAATATGACTAAGAGAAATGATGTGAAGAGAATCCAATTTCCCCATAGGACTTAGTGTAAATGGGGAGGGGGTGGTTAAGAGCCACAATTTTTTTTCCCACTAAATTAAAGACATTATATACATATACAGTAAACATTTTTGTGCTTACACAGTTACGTGCACTATGGGCTCTGCAGTATAACTTAGCTTTATACTGCACCACACAAAAGGAAGCCTACTCCCCAGAAATAGGGCCACCAACCCCTGGTGACCTGGCTCTCGGGAAGGAGGCTTTGTTGCTGCAGCCAAGCCACTTCCCTGAGAGCTGGCTGAGTTTAACAGATACTTATCGGTTCATGGTATCAGCTTACTGTATTGGTTAAACAGTTAATTGATCAAACTAACATTCCTCATATACAGTATAATTCTTTAATAAGTTCTAATCAGAGGATTGTCTGGGGACTTGCTTATAAGCAGCAATTCTCAAACAGAGGGTCAGGACGCCAAAGTGGGACACAATCCCATTTTAATGGGGTCATCAGGACTGGTGATAGATTTACTGGGGCCCAAGGTGGAAGCCCAAATCCTACCATCTAACACTGAAGCCAGAGTCCAACTGATCAGGGCCAAAACTGAGGCCCAAGGGCTTCAGCCCTGAGAGGTAGAGCTCAGATTACACGCCCCTACCTCCCCTCCCCCCCCGGAGGATAAAGACATTAGGCTTTGGCTCTCCCTTCCTGTGGTGGTGGGCCTTGGTTGGGCTCAAGCTTTGGTCCCCATCCCCATTTGCGCAGCCTTCCTCCTTCACCTCCTGCCCAAGGCTATTAGCTGTTTCAGGATCTTCAAGAGGCCCTGGGGAGGGAGGCTCCACACTGTGTCCTTGCTCCTTCCTCCCTTCCCCACTGAGCCTCCTGAACCCTGCAAAATATCTGATTGCTACAGGCGGGGGGCACAGGGAGGGAGAGAGGAGTTGCTGATCTGCAAGCTCCACCAATGGGGGGAGGGGGAGAGGAGAATGAAGGGGAGTTAATGGGGGGCTGCCAGTCCACCCTGGTTGCAAATATTATGCAATTTTAAACGAGTACGTCGTCTAATAGATCAGGGATCTAACAATGAAGTGTTAACCAAGAAAAAGAGTTACTGTACAATGACATTAGATATCTAACACCTCCCTGCAAACAAGGCAATAAATCAAACAACTCCCTTTCCCCCCAGTACAAGACCTTACTGCCTCCCTCCCTCCCTAGAAGCCTATATTCAGAACTAAGATGAACAGTAGGTCTTGATAGTAAGCAAATCTGGGCTATTTCAGACTGTGGAGAAAAGAAGAAGGAGAAATAGGTTTTCAAATTGGGACGTCTGTCAATTGTGCTTCATTTCAGTCACTACCAGTGACTTAAGCAGATAAAGCCAGGAAAGAAGACATCTCATATTACTTTGTTGATACCAGAGAATGAAATTATTAGATGCTGCCACACCATTCCTCCTATTGCAGGTTCCATTAATCACTGAGAACAGGGCATACAAAGAAATTCCTCACTCCCTCAAGAAAGGCACTCTGCCAGCTCTAATCACAGGCAGTAAGGATAGGTCCATGGATAAAAATTCCAACTGACACCTCCAATCCCAACTCATATTTCAAATCACAAGTGTGGACAATTGCACAGCCAGCAATCACCTAGGATTGTTCAACCATCCTTATGGTGATCAGGAATTCCTGAACTTACTCAGAACACTCAACTAGTTGGAGGTTAACAACATAGAACACTATCAGCCTTGTGCCTCGAATGCCTCCAAAGGGAGGGATTTCAAGAGCTCAAGTGAGGATTTTGCAGTGAAGTAGGCAATCTGTACACCGATACCAGACCCATGTTAACTTCATTTGGGATGCTCATACAAGATAGACAGTACATTTGAACCAATTTTGGGTTATGAATCCACCTGAACTTTAGGACGGACTCAAAACAGCCCTTCCAAGGTAAACTGTATTTCTAGTCCACTTCTCATGTGCTATGCTGTATATCTATATATTTTAGAAATATCTGACTATCTGTGAGTCTGTTTGTTCAAAAATTTCTCCTAAATGGTAAGCGCTAGGACCACCAAATTTGGTAGGCAGCTTCCTCTTATCCTAACTTAAAGTAAGGTCAGCGTTTGGTTGCGCCAAGCAAATGGGAAGTGCCAGGAACAGGACTGTTTTCTATAACATGGAAAGGGAGGGGACAGAGAGAGGAGGGATGTGAAAAGGAAAAGCACAAAAAGGAGGGATGCGATACTAAGAGTGGCCACTGGTGGCAGCAAGTCCATGGGCGTGAGCTATGTGCAGAGTGGTCACTGAGGGCAGCCGCACTACCAAGAGTGGCCAAAAAGGCTGGGGCTCCACCATCTTGCCTGCCACCGGATCACTTAAGTCTGTGGTCGCCAACCAGTAGATCGCAATCTACCGGTAGATCTCAGGGGCTCTAAGAGTAGCTCTTGAGCCCTCTCTGAACTGCGCACCTGCGCAGTACACATTTACATTAGATTTCCTCATTTGAGGAGCAGCTACTCACCGAGCAACAACACAGGTCAGTAGCTGCAAGGAATGGTGGGAACTGGGAGGTCGGGAGGGCTGAAACACCCCAGCCAACTGACTGTGGCTTTCAGCTGAAAGAGGCTGCCCCACGCTCTAGCTGATCAGCGGCTTCTCCTCTGCACCTGCCCATGTGGAGCTTGGTGCACCCTGGCTGAGCGCCATGGCCAGCTGGCCGGGCAGCTACTTCTCTTCCGGCCGAGCCAGCTGGCCGTGGTTCTCAGCCAGGGTGCCACCACTCCAGCTGTGGGCAGGCGCAGAGGGGAAGCCGCCCGATCAGCTGGAGCACGGTTCAGCCTCCTCTGGGCTGAAGGCCACAGCCAGCTGGCCAGGCAGCTTCTTCTCTGCACCAGCCCACATGGAGCGTGGTGCACCCTGGCTGAGCACCACTTCCAAATGTTGAAAAACCTTTAAAAAAAAGCAGCAGTATAAGGATTGGGAATAGCAAGTGATAGAGAGGAGGAGAATAGAGAGGGCGGGGCTTCAAGGAAGGGGCGGGGCGGTAGATCTTGGCTTGGTCTGTCATTTAAAAAGTGATCTTGGGTGTAAAAAGGTTGGAGACCACTGACTTAAGTAGCCCCCTTGCCCCAAGCTCCTTCCCACTCTTGGCCCTTGGGGAGGGTGAGAGGCCCTGGTGACTGGGAGAGACAGAAGGTCCCTGGCAGCTGAAAAAAGGCCCCATCATCTGGGGCAGGGGAGCCCTGCCAGATGGGAACCCCCCACCCTAAACCCCTCCTCAGTCCCAGCCTCCTGCCCTGCCCCTCCAACACCTCTAAGACCCTGCCCTGACTCCTGGACTTCCAACACCACCAGTCCCCTGCTCTAAAGACCCAGATAACACCAGGTAAGTCTTCTAGTTCTATATATAATTATCCTCCAACTTCCTATTTACATTTTACAAATGGGGAAGCTTCTGTCAAGCAATTTGGAGCAATTAAATTCTGTCAATTTAATTTATGGTGAAAATTAGTACCAACAAGTCATTATGCTGAATATTTTATATATTTTAATTACTGTTCTTCATATTATTTTTTAGCTAAAATTACTATAAATACATGTGCAAAGTGTAGCTAATGAAACACAAAGTTATTCTACTTGGATTCTCTACTTTCGTATCAATATTTTAACAAACATATTACTCTACAAATTAACATTCAAAGTATATTGAAGCTCTTACCTTTACACATTGAAATAACTTCAAATTGTGTGTCCAAGATGGCAGCTGTAGACTCTACTCTATTTGCAGCTAGAACGTACCATTCACCAGTGTTGGCACATTTTACAATGGAATAGCTACAAAACATATATATTAAATAACCAAAAAATCAATATTAGCAAACGTGTCAAAGCACTAACTTTACTTTTTTAAATGTTTTAGACATTTGCTGCTTTTTAAACCATCTGAAAATGTGATTTTTACTACAAAAATCCTGTTACTGTTTCGCTCCAAATGATTTCAATAGAATGAATACAAGTGCAAAGTAGAAACAACATAAGAACAATTAATTTTTTTAAAAGATGGGAAAAAGTCTGAAATTGAGTAACACAAAAAAATAAAAATGCCATTAAATAAGTCTGAGATGCCTCCTACTTCAGCCTTGCTATTAAAAGCACTGCACTGTAACTGCTAATAAATAATGATATTAGTGGAAGCAGATTGATAAAGTTGAATAAGTTAAATACATACTCTGAATCCGGCATATAACAAATAGCTTGATTGGCAGGAATAGTCCATGGCTGCGTAGTCCAGATTAGCAAACTGACAGTTGGAGATCCAGCTATAGAAGCAAATTAAAAACTATGTTAATTGTCATAAAAACCAAAGATGTCACAGTTTTAACAAGAACTACATATTATAAATCATACCTATCACAGAGGCCAGTTTAGGAGGCGATTTCAACAAGGGGAATTTGATATAAACTGAACGACTGACATGCTGCTGATTGTATTCAAGTTCAGCTTCAGCCAAGGCTGTGCTGGGTGAAGATCAAAAATAGGTTAAACCACATGAACATGTATTTCTCTCTTCTTATTTTATAGATAAAATGGTAAGTTGATTCTTACTTTGCTGAAGGAGACCAAAATACCGGTTTATAGTCCTGATAAATGTAACCCTAAAGAGGAAAAACATGAAGTTAACTGGATCAGAACTACATTGTAACTTAAATAAGGACTTGGTTAAATGGCACACTAGCATACCTTGTCATACATTTTGTGGAAGACACTCAGTTGTTTTGCCTCATACTTCCCATCAAATGTGTGGTAGCAATTAGTCCAATCTGCCATTATCCCCCAACGAATGAAGGCAGATTTCTGTTTCTCAATTGCCCTTTCTGCAAATTCTTTTGCTAAAAAGAAACAATTGTTTTTAAAACATTGTTCTTTTAAAATCTGCGTGATCACTTTAATTTTAAGAATTGCTAATGGCTTACTTGCTAGTGAATGATTAACCTCTGCTGGGAACAAAGTATTATACAACTATTATAAATTACAAAATATAAAACTATACCAACTAATGTATATAACAGTAAATTTTAGAAGCCTCAAACTGCTTTACTCGCATGAGTAGTCCCATCAAAGTGAAAGCCAAACACCACTAGGGAGTTTGTTTGTTTGTTTTTTCCAAGTAAGCCATTCATTTTTACAGAACTTAAATTAATTTTAAAAAGGGGAAAGAATTCCAACCCAGATGGTTATGAAGTTCCAACCTACCAAGTGTAAAAGGAATGAAAACTGACCAACCGCTGCAGTGCTTCTATCTGATGCTATTCTGGGGTTTGCAATGCAGCAAGCAGCTACCTGAAGTTAAGACAAGTTGGTTTAATTGCTGCTATTCATAACTAGAGCTGGTTAAACTATTCACTGCAAATAGCTTTTCAAATTATTTTTTATTTTTTTCCTTTGTATAAGTTTTCACTGTTCCTTCCCCCTCATTATTTGATAAGCTCTATTCAGAACTCTGAAGGCTGCAGAGATGTGGTCTGAATCACTAATATCATGATCCACCCTACTAGAAGACATTATGAGCTGCAGAGGGTGGAGCAGGAGCAGTGGGAGAGGAAGTGACACAAGTAGGCTGAGATGATGACAATAATAAAAAAATATAGGAAGGCTGGGGCAGAGAGCCTGCCCCCTGACAGCAATCACAAAAAGGTCTGAAAAGGACAGATCATCCTCTTATGCCAGAATCTACAATGGGAAAAAGTTTAAAACACATGAAACTTCCCCTGACAAGAGCTAATAAGAAAAATACAGGCTCCAGTATGTTTCTGGATGAAAAGAGTCATTGCATTAATGTTTGGCTGAGGTCAAAAGAACAGCTTCTGAACATCGATGGGGCTCCATCTACTACCAACGAGTAGCCAAAGTTTGACATGAAAAGTGTAATATAAGGGGGTTTGTGCTCTCCTCAGTGGAACAATCATGAACAAGAGTTGTAGGACAATGCTCAACATACACATATAGGAATTACTTTATTTTTACCCTAAAATACAGCCCCATCTGGAGTAAATACATGGTAGCTAACCAAGATGCAAATCAAGCACCATATAAATGCAAAGAAAAGCTATACACTTTTGTAAATAAAAACCATCTCCCCATGTACCATATTATTTAAAAAAAATCTTACTTTAATATACCAGTGCCATCAGATCACCACAATCAACATTGGTTTGAATATTATGTTTTTTCCCCCAATTTAAATTACAAACCAACTTTAAATGAAATGCAATTTCATTGAATGTGTTCCTTAAAATCATCTGAATGCTTATTATACCCAAATACACCTAGAAATAACTCCCACCCCACAAAAAGTTAGAGACAGGAGTTAAGCTCAAAGCAAGTGAATGATGCATCATGTTTTCTATAAATGCTTTGACAGTGCATATTGACTGCTGTTTGCAAGAGACGTGAAGCTACATCAGTATATAAGCTGCATAGTCTAATGGCACATATACTAAAATTGCAAGTCATTCCACTGCATGACAAAGCTGTTACCAATAAACACACATACATTATCAGAACACTTTCCATCTAATCCATAATAAACTCTCAGAAGGCACCACCTACACTGTTTTCCAATATTATACATGATGAAGGGTTAAAAAAAAAAGTTCACAGATTCCAGAGCCAGAAGGTAACATTGTAATCTAGTCTGACCTTCTGTATAGCACAGGCTATAGACCAGGGGTTCTCAACCTGGAGTATGCGTACCTCCAGGGGGTACGAGAAGCTTGTCAAGGGGGTACAGGGAATATTTAGTAAATAACTAGATTATTCTAATTGAAATATTCGAAAAGTAGTAGTGTTAGTGAAAAAAACTTGTGGATTCTAGAGTCTAGAATTTATTTTCTTTCATATTGAATAGGGGGTATGGGAAGGTTTACTAAAAGCCAATGGGATATGGGGACCAAAAAAGGTTGGGAACCCCTCCTATAGACCAAGGATGGGCAACCAAGAACAGCGAGTAGACCACATGAGTGGCCTTCAGTGTGCCACAGCATCCCATGGCCCACTGGGGTTCTACCTGCAGCTCCACAAACCCCCCTTGTCTGCTCCCATCCCCTATGCACCTCTCACACCAAGGCACTGGGAGCCCTGAACTTCTTACTTCAAAGAAGTTGGTAGGGAGGGGGAGAAGTATCATGAATTGCCTGATTTGTGCTCAATCTCCGCTCCTCCTCCTCCCTCCCAAAACTTGAACAGTTGCAGACAGCTGCCAACTACACTGGCAGTTCCAGACTGGATATGGACACCTTGCAACCAAGTACCCAAAGAGACAGACATCCCTGCCTCTCTACACTGTGCAGAGCTACATCTCCCCAACTTAAAATCTAAGGACTCCACCCCAATCCTTTGTTTTAAGTTGGGGAGATGCAGCTCTGCACAGTGCAGACAGGTGCAGATTGGGGGAGGGGGTGAAGTCTGTGTCTCTTTGGGTACTGGGTTGCTAGATGTCCACATCCAGTCTGGAACTGCCGGTGTAGCTGGCAGCTGTTCACAGCTGAGACGGGGTGAAAGTGAACATGAGGACCTGTGCAGTGTTGGGCTAAAAGGACAGTGGAACACCACCATGGCAGTGTTGCTGAACCCCACCAGCATGGCTGCTGATGGGGGATGGGGAAGAACAAAAGGGGCACAACTCAAATTACGGATGTTAGGGTGTAAACAACTAACTGTTTAACAAGCGGATGCTTATTGGCCAATAGTGTTGGTTACACTCAACCTCCTGGGCAGCAGGGCAGTGAAGCCTCCTCCCTGGGAGAAGGGCAAGCAAAGGCTGCCTGCTCCACTCCCAGAGAGGTGGCTTCACTGCCACAATGAAGCCTCCTCCGTAGGAGCTGGGCCAGCAGGGGCTGGCAGTCACACCACAAGGAGGCAGCTTCACAGTGGGCTCTGCAGTATAAAGCTTTGCAGTGCATGTAACTGTGTAACCACTTAGATTTTCACTGGTTACATGGTTACCCTATTACATGATTTTTTAACATCCCTAGTTTTAATGTCAGATGTGCGCAGGCTGGTATTGGTGGACAGTTCTTACCGCTGCACTGTACAGGCCCATGCTAGGGATGTAAGCGACTAGTCGAGTAAGCTGGTTCCTCCCAGCACCATCTCCATGGTGGGGGACAGGAGAGGCAGAGGCTAGAAGCGGGACTGGGCACGAGCCGGGAATCAGTTGTCCTGACTTGCACCCGGTCCTCCACCCTGGCTGCGGCTCTGCAGTTTCCCGCCTTAGCAACTAATCAAGTGGTTGCTGGAAATTCCATCCACAACTCCATTAGCAAACACAATTTAACATCCCTAGACTGTACCACCCCCGCCCTCTTTCATCTCTGCAGTGTGCATGTGTGAAGTGGAAGTTAAATGGGGGTTGGGGGAAGAAGTTGATAAAACTGAAATAATGCGGGTTCACCACAACTTGGCTGAGCTCTGGCTGCTCAGATCAGACTGTACTGTACCCTTCATTTCTCTATGTTAACCTAAAAACCTATGGGCTACGTCTAGATTACATCCCTTTTTCGTAAAAAGGGATGTAAATTAGATGTATCGCAATTGCTAATGAAGCAGGAATTTAAATCTCCCCCACTTCATTAGCATAAAAATGCCTGCCGCTTTTTTCCCCCCCGCACGGAGCGTTGCCAACAAAAAGCGCCAGTCTAGACGCTGATCTTGCGGAAATAAAGATCTATTCAGAGAAGGATAAGGGATCTTTCGGAAAAGGCTTTATTTTCCGCAAGATCAGTATCTAGACTGGTGCTTTTTTTTGATAAAGCTCAGTGCGGAAAAAAAGCGGCAGCCATTTTTATGCTAATGAAGCGGGGGAGATTTAAATCCCCGCTTCATTAGCAATTGTGATACGTCTAATTTACATCCCTTTTACAAAAAAGGGATGTAGTCTAGACGTAGCCATGCTGTGATACATTTGACTAATAAACCCTTTGTTTTGACAGCACTGTATGAATGGTGCTGCAGTTGCTTGCAGAGATATATTGATTCACAGAGAACACACAAATCCCCTTGGGAGTCTTCCTCAGTAGGACTCATTGAACGAAGTTCGCGGTCTGAAGCAGGAGTACTGATGGCTGAAAGGTTCAGCCTAAGGAGTTGGTGAAGTTGTGGGGCTTACCCCAGAGGAATAGTGAGATCCCTAAAGACACCGGACTCCTGGAGACTGTTCCAGAACCGGAGCTGTAAACTCAGTCTAGTGGATCTATGACAGCATCCCAGGATTACATTAGATCTTTTAGTCACAGCACCACAATAGGAGCTCATGGGCAGCTGATTATCCATCACAACCCTAAAATCTTTTCTCGAGTTACTGCTTCCTAAGTGGAGTCTCCCATCCTCTAGGCATGGACTACATTCTTTGCTCTTAGATGTATAGTTGTAGCAATATTCAAATGCATATTGTTTGCTTGCTCCTAGTTTACCAAGCAATCCAGCCTCTTCGTTATTTATCACTTCCCAAATTTGGTGTCATCTGCAAACTATAAAATTATCAATGATATATTTTCCTCCAGATTATTAATAAAAATGTCAGGGTCAAGAATCAATCTGAGCTACCTCACTGGAAAAACACCTACTCGATGACAATCACACATTACTCAAAAACATGAGAGAATACTTCAAAAACATTAGAGGGAAAACTAATCTTATTTTCAAAGAGTTTTTTAAGTTCAGGAACTCGGCATACAACACCAGTAAAAACTGGATACAATACAGGCAGTCCCCGAGTTACGCGGATCCGACTTACGTCGGATCCGCAGTTACGAACGGGGCCGTTCCTCTCTCTGGTCTCCAGCAGACCAGGGAGAGGAAGCAAAGCGGCGGAACACGTGGGCAGCGGACAGGGCTGTCTGCTGCCCACGCGCTCCGAGGCTTGGCTCTGCTTTGCCCCTCCCCCCGTCCCCCTGCAGACCAGGGGG